GCCACGGCTTTGTATGTGTGAGTACCCTAGCAGCACAGTTTTGGACATACTGGAGCCTGTCCAGGGTTTTGTTGGGAACCCCAAACAGGAGACCATTGCAGTAGTCCAAGCGGGAGGTGACAAACGCATGGACTAGGGTTTCGGCAACCGACTCCGAGAGTGACGGTCGGAGTCTTGCAATGTTCCTTAGATGGAAAAAGGCCGATTTGGTCACAGACTTGACGTGGGAGTGGAAGGAGAGGGTGGAGTCGAGAATGACACCCAGGTTGCGGGCTTCAGGAGATGGGGAGAAGGAGCAGCCGTCAACCTCGAGGATGAAGTCACCAACCTTCTGGAGCAGCGCCTTGGGTGCCACAACCATGAGCTCTGTTTTCCTGCTGTTTAATTTGAGATAGTTGCATGACATCCATGCTTTGATGTCATGCAGGCAGTTGATGAGAGACTGAGGGGGGAGCTGGGAGGATGGAGTGGTGCTGAGATACAGTTGGGTATCATCAGCGTAACAGTGGAAATTGAGTCCATGATGTCGGATGATCTGGCCGAGGGGGAGCATGTAAATGGTGAACAGGAGGGGGCCAAGCACAGAGCCCTGGGGTACACCGTGGTGGACTGGGGCCGGGGGTGGATTAGAGCCATTGATGGAGACAAACTGTTTCCTGTTATGGAAACACTTTGTATCTGATGTATCTGATTCTAATGTACAGTGAAGTACTAACTAATCTGCTCTCTCTCCTCCTCTCGTCCTCCCCTGCTTTGGTATCAGGTGGCAGACCGCCTCTTCTCATCATTTGGTCAGGACATCCTGGACGCTCTGTACTGGACAGCCACAGAACCAAAGGAGAAGAAGAGAGCGCACATAGGCGTGATTCCTCACTTCCTCATGGCTGTGCTCTACGTCTGTATCCTCACTGAGAACGGCCTGGGATTGTTGTTACCAGTTTGTGTAACTTGTTGCTTTTGTGCGTTGTTCTGTAAAACAGACGGGTCAGGAAATGGACAGACCTTTAGAACCACAACAATTAGTCATTCGGCAGGAAAGCCATCAGCAACATTTTTGATAATCTATGAAACGTTTAAAGATCCCATGTCATGCTTTTCCGGTTATTACCCGTCCCCTTGTGTGTTATGAAGGTTTTTATGCATGTACGGTCTGTAGAGTCACAAACCCTCAAAGTACACCCTGTAGCGCAGGGGTCGGCAAGTAAGTTTGGCCTTGGGCCATTTTTTTTCTGAGCCACTAGATGGCGGGCCAGAACAAAATAAGTAAAGTAATTGATTGTTAAAACATGTGACACGTTCGGCTTCTCCGATTTAGTTGTCAATGTTTTGACTGAACTTTGTTACTGTTCACATATAAGTAAACATTACGTTTGAATGATTTAGTGAGCTGGTGTTATTTTTTTCAAACCACAAACCGCATGTTGGCTATTTCAGCACCACGCGCTGTCCACCTACTTTTTGATCCACTATCAGCGTCAATGCACCCCACTGCCAGATTGTGCCTGTACTGTGTGTCATTCACTCTCAACATGGATAAAAGTATAATAAGTAATCTTCAGGTTTAGGTAGATTCTCTATTCGGACATTATAGCCAATATGTGTGCGACTGTCGGTCCGGTATTGTAAAAAAAAAAAAGAAAAAGAAATCTCAAAATAATCTCTTATTTTTATTCTCCAAATAATTTTCTGTTCTGAAACTGTGGCGCGCTTACACTGTAGGTGTGCCGCGTTTGGGGGTGCGGGTGCTAGTGGAGCCTCACCGATGGGGGTGCTGCAGCCCCCTCAGCATTTTCTCACTGATGTTCCGCTGTAACGGTGGTAGACTCATCAGAACAGAGTGGGCGAGCTGACCAATCAGAGCACAGTGGGCTTACAGGGAGGGGGGGGGCAGGAGCTCCAACAAGCCGTTTAGGACAAAGAGTGAATTCACATACTATACAGAGATGCTGTATGAGAAACCAATGTGAGTTTGGAAAATTGCACAATATAAATCAATTCTAGTAGACCTCAACAATGGAATTATGATCAGTAGAAATGGCCATGACATGGGACCTTTAAGTAAAATAAACAGAGAAAATATGCATACAAATAAGGATGTAGTCATTTTCACCTTTGAATAACAAAAAGTCACATTGACATCATTTATATTACAAAATATTATATCTAATATGGGTCAGTGACTTGTGTGTGTCTTTTTAAGCGTTACAGGTCCAGAGTTTGCCAATATTTAGACTTTTTTTCTTGTCTTTACTGAACAAAAAATATCTTTGGGGTTTAGACTGGTCGTACAACAGAAGCAGCTCGAAGTCAACTAGTGCTTAGAGAGGCTTTTTGGACCATTTCATTGAAAAAACAATGGGTCAATGATCTAAAAATAATCTGCAGATTAATCACTAATGAAATAACCATCAGTTGCGACCTGGCAGGTCTTTTCTTTGGAATACTAAAACAATCATACTAATGGGCCTGAATCAGAAACAGTTAACACACAGCATGATATTCTTCGCTGTACTCCTCAGTGTTTTTTCCTTAGCAAGTATTTATCTAGTTCTCCATGCCATCCTCATCATGGTTCAGGCCACCACTCTGAACGTAGCCTTCAACTCCCACAACAAATCCCTGCTCACCATCATGATGTCAAACAACGTGAGTATAATGCACACAGACATTTAACTGAATTATGTAGCATGAGTTCAGCCATGATCTTTGTTTGTTTTTTGCAGTTTGTTGAGATAAAAGGAAGTGTGTTCAAGAAGTTTGAAAAGAACAACCTTTTCCAGATGTCAAACAGCGGTAAGTGTTCAAAGATCTCTAAAACAGCTAAATATAAGTCGCAAAATCAGCGGTCTGCGTATATTTCCTAACTCGGCCTATGAAGTACAAGGTAAAATTATGGAATTGAGCTCTACCGCAGTGAGTACAAAGTAGGTTAATCCGGGATTGATTTGTTTCTTTTTCCACAGACATAAAAGAGAGGTTCACCAACTACATCCTCCTGCTCATAGTCTGTCTGAGGAATATGGAGCAGTTCTCCTGGAACCCTGGTAAATGAACGCAGTGCTGCACAGATAATGTGACATACTGTAACCTACAGTACACACATGGTTCATCTATATGACAGCTATAAGTTACATCATGCTGCTCCTCGCAGCTACATCCTCTGGTATTATCAGCTTGGTTCAGCAGTGAACTGTCACTACATTTGTATGCCTAATTTTTTACTGAATATTGTCACTTAAAGGTAGGGTAGGTAATTTTGGAGAAACCAGCTTGAGTGCGCTAGAATTTGAAAATACACAACCGGGAAAATCTGCCTCTTCCTTCAGACTTCCTTACAGAGCCCAACACACACAAACGCGCACATGACCAATGAGGGCACGAGATAAGTTTGTGCACAGATGGAAGGCTGAGAGGCAGGTAGGCCATCCAGTTATTTTAGCCGGGTCGGCTAAAATGATTGGTCGTGCTTTTTACAGCGCTACGGCTTCCATAGATGAATTTGTTTAATGTATTTATTGTCAAAGCATTTAATTTATTCATTGTTATCGGGATGTTAAGAGCATTCCATGGAATATAACAAAAAGTGTTTCTGAAATAAATTACATACCCCACCTTTTAATAGTTTTTAATGTTTGTTTTCAGACCACTTCTGGGTGCTGTTTCCTGATGTAGTCATGGTGATTGCCTCTGAAGTTGCTGTGGACGTTGTTAAGCACGCCTTCATCACCAAATTCAATGACATCAGTGCTGATGTGAGTTTGGATGCAGCATTTCCGCCCTTTATACATTAGATTGTTGTGGAGTAGGTGTCTAGAAGTGTGTCAAGGCACCTAAGAGAGCAACATTGTAGTTTGAAAGAGAATCAAACACAAAGAACACGTTGGAATTTGACAAAATCTGAATTTTATGTTTGTTTACTAGTTATTTTAAGTGCTTTTAAACCAGTTCTTACACTCCTCATCTCAGTAAATGGACCCTTTTTGCCCTCTCCTCTTTTTTTATGTATTTTAAGCAGAGCCATTACATGGATTAGTTCAGCATGCCATCTATTATTAGTTTCAGTCTGTACAAAATAGTGAATTTTGACACAAGTGGAAGAGGTTGATGCAAAGGCTTAATTGCTATTAGTGATAAATAACAAAGACACAGATGTGTCCACACAGATGATGTGGTCTCTTGACACTGAGAAAACTCCATCCTGACAGGACAGTGAGAAGCGGTCAAAAGTTCAGCAAACAGCTAACAGGCCTTGATTTGATATAATCCTTTTTCTATTTAGTACTTTTCAAAGGTGAATTCATTTTGAGCTCAACATACTCTATTCGGTTCGACTGTATTGACGTTTTCTCTGTGATTTCCTGTAAGGAGATTTAACCTTGGTTATGTAACAGAAACCAACTCCACAAGAAGGGATTAACCCCTTCATCTCCAAAGTGTAATATAATCACACATGAGTTAGCGTCCAAGCAAACATGCTGTCCACATTTAATCCATGTGTGCACATTGCTTTTTTCTTTTTATCAAATGTGATGTGGCTCATCTCCTGCCGCTAACCAAACTAAACCTTGTATAAACACATAACAGATGAATACATATCTCTCTCTGCTGATTCCATTAATTTGAGCAGCTGTATGTTCTTTTGATATTTGTTTACTTTTTGGACTAATGTTGTGTTACTGTATGTTGTTTTTCCAGGTATACGGGGAATACAGGGCCAGCCTTGCCTTTGATCTTCTCAGCAGTCGACAGAAAAATGTGAGTGAAATGTGTTCGAATATCAGATTTGCTCCCAAACTAGGTCAGAGATTGTCCTACTTAGCGGTCAGGATCCCATGTTGGGTCACCTGTCTATCTATTTATATCAACAGTAAATTGAATTACTTTTTATCATTAGGTTTTTTTTATTCTGGCAGTGAGCTCAATGAACTACAACTTAAGGATCAACACCTCTGCTCATGTTGTTTCCATATAGCAACATTTTTCTCAATACAAGCAGCGATCCTAAGGGTATTTTATCAACACAAGGATATAAGTATTAAACTAGAACTGCAAAAATGTATAAATTATTAGATATACATATGGTCACACTGTAAAAGCCAACCCTTACTGCAAACTGGATTTATTGTTGTTTGTATTATATAAGTATAAGCTATTCTACAATTCTCAATCAGTATACATTTTTTGTTAAAGAGTGAATGTGAAACAAAGAATGAGGATTGCAATATCACAGATATGTTCTCCAATCTTTATTGAGATATCATTATATGAGTAAGTTATGTACTTTTGTTATGGAGGAATATTAATGTATGTATATAATATGTCTTAAATGTGTCTCCAGGCTTACACAGACTACAGTGACTCAGTCTCCAGAAGAATGGGCTTCATCCCGCTCCCTTTAGCTCTGCTGGTCAGTCACTGTATATGAAAATATCAATTTCTATTCCTTTCATGTATTTTCAGTGTAAGGGGTTATACACTTTATATCTGATTATGTGTTTGTGTTCCTTATTTTCAGTTGATCAGAGTCGTAACCAGCTCAGTGAAGGTCCAGGGTTCGCTGTCCTTCATGTGTGTGCTGCTGTTTTACCTTGGGTTAGTAGACACTTTTGCAGTGTTTTTTGTTTTGTTTATTTTGTGTTGATTATGGTTGCCCCTGTGGACAAAAGCGGTAGTTTCCATGAGCAACACCGCCTCGTTTTGTTTAGGAAAGACTCAACTTGGTCATGAAGGGGGGTTTGACCAATACGATGACTCACTCTAGTGGTTTAGACTCGTATAAAAACTTGTCTTGAATAGCTGGTTTCAAATTCAACTAATGTTAGCTGAAGCTATTTCTAGCTTTGTTTTAGCCCCCAATGGTAATTCATATTGATGGAAATCCAAAGTTATTTTCTGTCCTTTTGAGATTGTTTATTTTTATTTTGGTCAATTATTTCTTGTTTTCTTTGCTTATCCTTCCCGAGTAGCTGTAAGCATCAAATATAATATAAAAAATAAAGCAATGTAAAGGTAAATCTATATAGTCATATAAATATAATGTTCTCGCTGAAAGTCACATTCTTGTGTCGGTCATATTGAGATATTAGTTTTATATTCATACTTTTCCTTAACCAGTTAACATTTTCTTGTTGTGCCTTCAAAGTTTGCACTTTCTCACATATCCACATGTTTTGTTTGTGTTTGCGCAGGATGATCACTCTGAAGGTGCTCAACAGTATCCTTCTTCTGGGTACGTCTTGTGGATTCGTGAAAGACGCCAACATGGAAGAGAAGCTCTTCAACCCTCCGCCCTCCGTCGTCTCCAGCCGTGCCAACTCCAGAGCTCACCGCACCAAAACCGTCCACATTCCACCACAGCAAGGTAGCAGTTGATCCAACTCTTACAATAATAACAGCCGCAGACTTACTACTCAAAATCTTAATAGTTTTGTTTTTAACAATGGTGCCTCGATATAATATTAGCCCTTGACCTAGTACTAATTTTTACTGTATAACGCTTAGATGTATCAAAATGCAACCTTATAGCATTAGCACCTTGCTCCGTTAACTTGGTGCTAACAGTAAACATCAGTTTTTATGCTAATTTCATTATTATCTGAAATATTTTTCACCATGTAGCATTAGCAGGGGGAAAAGGGAATGTAATATTGCATTGCTGTGAGCTATAGTAAAAATACAGCTAACGGATCAGATTGGGCTCGATAGCTCAGTATTGCCAATGCCAAACCGGTGAAAATGCATTGCTCTTCTCCAATTCTGATCTTTGAGATCAAATGTGGACATCCCTTTCAAAATGTTTAAAGGGTCATGTGATTTGATGTGCCTGTATGATTATTCTTGACGCTTGCAATGTCAAGCCCTGTTGATCTAATCACAGTAAGTTTAATGACATAGGTGATGCAGGCCATTTTGTTGACATTCTGTCTTTGTTGTTGATGAACATATTTAGTCACAGTCTTTGTTAAAAACATGAACACTGCTTATGACAGTTGCTAAGCTTTGATTGGATAATTGCTATTAGTATTAAACCTCCTCCACTCTCTCTCAAATAGAACCCACAATCGACAAAGGAGGAGCATCCGTGGCAGCAGATGTTTCTTCGCCCCCCAGTGTGGCAGAGAGCTCTGCCCCAACACTCCCCAAAAGTGACTCAGACACTTTCCTGACCACGCCAGACGGGGATGATGATGAAAAAATCATCAACACCGACACCGGACTGGAAGGTCTCGAACCACGAACGCCCAAGAAAGACTTGCTGGAAATAGACCGCTTCACCATCTGTGGCAACCGAATAGACTGAAAGCCACAGGGAAACAACCAGTCAGTGTGCCCTGGCAAAACGGCAAGATTCAGGGATCAGAAACACGGGTCGGACTAGAGAAACTTCAGTGCACCTGACCCCTGAATATTTATTTATTTATTACTGACAAAACCAGCCAAGGCATAACGCTGTTACTACAAGCATCACAGGCGGCCTCAGATGTCTCCATCTGGTCCAGCCGGTGCCTCGTGAACCAGGTTCACGGCAACATGAAGACATGCTTGCTCATGACTATGGGAGAAAACTGGCATAGCTGTAGAAGAGCATGAAGACAGAAACACATGTGACGTAGTGCCACTAGGATCGCTGTGTGATGAAATGACAGCTGGACTGTGCGAGTACGTGTTCAAAAGCACAATCATGCGTGCGGTGCAGATTTGTTTTTAGAAAGAACAAACTTGTCCATTTTTTAAATTTTCAAAAGCCTAATATTTAAAATGAAGTTTTTATGAAGACTGTCAGATCTTTTTCTAGAATCGACCTGCAGGAATAAGACTCACAATCACATGAACACACTGTTGAAATCCCAATGTTGCTCTGCTGACACACACACACACACACACACACACACACACACACACACACACACACACACACACACACACACACACACACACACACACACACACATCCACACACATCTAAAATGGTCTTGTTTAAAGTGAATTACTGTGATGACCCCGAGTGTCCTTAGCGCTCCGACATGGCAGCAGTGACATTAGGTGCAGTCCTGCTGAGTGCACTGGCTTTGGTTACAGAGTTTACTTTATCTTTTAGACGCAGATCAAAGTTTAGAGGTTTTAATGTCATGCAGCTTGTATTGATATTGTTACTTTAAGCACCGAGATAGGCTGGTGCCTGTTTGTAAAGACAGTATTTATTCAAAATTCAAGCCAAGTTTGGAAGATATTTCATTTTTAGATGATTTTCTTTTTCAAATGCTTCATGTCAACACGCATGTCGCCAACAGTTTGGCACGTCTTGGTGTAACACCACTGTGTTCTTGGTCTCATTTAAAATTCTTGGTGTGTGACACTTGCATATCAGCATCAATTTAACATGTTTTGTTATTATTTCCCATTATCTTTGCAGCGATATGAGAAATAATTAAGGTTGCATGTATGCAGGTGAAATGTTTAAGGGTATTGTGTGATAATTATCTATCAAAAATAACAAGGATCATATGAGCACTTTGGTTGAACCATGCAGCATCTTTTTATTTTCCTGAGAGCTGTAAGAAGCAAGGTTTGAATCCTAAATGTTGCTGACATTGAGTGGTGTGTTTGTTGTTCGGCTGGCTTTGGTAATTGGAAGAAGCTTTTTCCAAATGCTTTCATTTTTATATAACGACCTTTAGAAGCTGTAAAAGCTGGAAGCATTGTTGATCATATCATTTCCGAAATGCTGAATTCAAGCTATCCTTACATTTAGCATCTCATGCTAATATCCTGTTGTATTTGATTCAAGCAACAATGCTTGACATTTGGATTTTCGAAAAATAAATACCCAGTGGTTTTTAAAAGGTCTTTCAAATTAATTAATGCTTCTCTGAAGATATTTCCAGAATCATCAAAGACTTATCTAAATGTGTGTGTGTGTGTGTGTGTGTGTGTGTGTGTGTGTGTGATCTCACTGCTACTTCAAGACATACTCTATATGTGAATCGGATATTGCATTGTTTTTATTTTGTTTGTACAACAACCAATCTGTTACAAATCATGTATGTGGTAACGAAGGAGAATAAAACAGGATTTTGTTTTGTAACCCTTTTTGTTACCATCTTACTGTTCAATAATTGATGTGTGTGAAGTGTCTTTCTGTGCGTGTTTGAGCATGTGTGTGTCTCTAACTGATTCATGACGCAGCTGCATGTACAGTACATGTTCCCCCACATGTATTCGATTTCATCTAAACATATGAAAAGGCTCTGATGGTTGGAGGGATGCGGATGAGGAGACTGTATCCTTCCCGTAATTGTTACTTCAAACAAACATCCTGTAAGTTCCATATTTACTTAATGTTTTCTACCTTTCTCCTTGATGTTATGGAAGTTGTGAAAGTTCTCTGTAACCATATGATTTAAATAGTAGCAGAAGACAATTTGATTTAAAAATCTGTAATACGTTGAGTAGAAATCATCTTTCACATACAAAACTACAACCTACTTTCAATACACCATACATATACTTATCAAGTTATGGTTTCACATTTGACATCATTCATACATAAACTGTTATCTATGCTTTGAGTATTTTTCTCATGCAGTTGCAGAGGTGGCCCAGTGTAAACACATCGGTAACATTGTGGACAGCATGGAGATAGTAGTGTGCAGCTTCATAGTGGATTCAGTGGTAAGGCCCCAGAACACTGAGCATGAGTGTGTGTATGTGTGTGTGAGAAACAGTGGTGAGTGTTTCACTGAAAGGAGTCACTGCAGGCTCTGTTCACAGGGCAAACACTGCAGACCACTGTTCCCCCTCAATGGGCATTTAGAGAGGGTCTCTGTCATCACAGTCATTCACACACAGGGGAACTTTTTATTAAACTCTGATAAATGATCTGCTTCTGGAAACATGACTTGGGTTTTCCTGATTATCTCAACATACTTCACATTTACATTTAACCCGTGAAGTGTCATGTATCGTGTAAAATGACTGTGAGGAGGCGAGAGAGGATGAAAGAGAGTGCTGACTTATCAAAGGCTTAACCGGGCTATAATGTTACTTTTGAACTGAACTTTGGGTTTTCCCTTTTTTGAACTCGAACCCTGTGTGCTTGACATTTTTTCACAAGCCTTGACCGTCTATCTAACAACCTCAGAGCTGAAGGTCAGCCGCTCAGTGACCTCAGAGTCAATTACCTGTCGTCACATTCGGTGGAGGAAGAAGTACCTAGATCCTGTTTTTAAGTAAAAGCACTCATACCATAAAAATAATCAAGAGTCCGTAAAAAGTATGTGTGTATGATCAGGAAAAAGTACTAAAAGTTTCAAAGGAGAAGTTTGTCCCCTGTGACACTGTTAATGTTATCATGTTAATTTATTTTTGCATTCATGTAAAAGCAGGATTCTGTTATTGTTGAGATGGAACTTATTTTGAACTTTTAACCAATATTTTCAATAACGATGGATCTGCTGATTCATTTCTCCATTTACAGCTAGATTATACGATTTTTTAAATGAGTCAAAATAGTGATATATTATACCTTACAATAACCCAGAAGAACCCATGAAACCTTCTAAATGCAAACGGTCTCTGAATTATATTAAATAGCCTAAACTAAAAGTATAATAACATATAAAAAATATATTTAAACATCTGGGTAGCTTTAGGATGTCCTTCTGGGGATACAGTTGTATCAATATAGCCTACATTTAAAATGTTAAAATGATTTTTAAAATATACATTTAAATAGGTTATCATAAAAAATTAAGAAATAAGATAAGAAATTAAGCATATAAGAAAGGTTATTAACCTGGAAATCAGATTGGTCAAACACTATTTGACACTGGCATGTTAAATTCAGAGTAAAAGAAAAATAGAAATAATCAGTGAATTTACACGTAACCTCTTGAGTAAAAGTATTTAGTTACTTTCCACCACTGACTGATTTGACTCCACGGTGTCGCGCGGATATCAGATTGGTCAAACACTATTTGACACTGGCATGTTAAATTCAAAGTAAAAGAAAAATAGAAATACTATTTGAATCCACGGTGTCGCGCGGCACAGCCGGCGAGCTTTCAGCGAGCGCGCGCGTTCTGGGGTTTTACGTGCACGGGGGGATTAGGGCCGGTGAGAGTGAGCGAGGACACCGAGACCACGAGCACATCCTCGTCCGTTAGTCCTCTTTTGTCGTCGTAGAAGAAATCCGAAAAAATGTCTCCGTACCGGGAAACAAGCAGGAGATAACGGCTGAAACTCGACCGTTGGATGTGAAGTTTAAAAGTTTCTGACGGTTGATAGTGAACTGCGGGGATAAACCTCCGGGAGGGACAGGTGTGTTTCGTCCGTCTCCCCTCTTCAACCCCTAGGGGCTAGGATTTTTACTTAATTTTTTTTGTATAAAGCTGGACTTTTCTGAGCCATGTTGTGGACAAGTTGGCTCGTCCTGCTGCTCTGCTGGGGGGCCACCACCAGCGGCGAGCAGCAGGCGGAGGAGAGGGACGGGACCCCGGTGGAGGCCCGGGCGGAACCGCAGAGACAGCGGTCCCCTCCCCCTGTGGAGCCGTTGGATTTTGGGTTTGTACCGGCTGCTGTTTACGATACCCACGCTTACTTTGAGCCAGGACCTATTGGGCTTCTCTTCCACATGGTCCACGCTTTTCTCTACGTTGTTCAGCCGAACACCTTTCCTAAAGGTGAGATTATCCCACCCACCTCCTCCCCACCCAGGTTCCTCATCTTTACTCCGGGTCTTATTCCCCTCTGAGGAGGACTCTCAGCTCTTTTTCTTCAAGTCATTCTGCGTAAACACAACGCTTATATATCACTAAATAACCTAATGTAGGAGACTAGGAGTGACCCTAAAAGGTGTCAAACTCACCATATTACCTGATGAGGGGTTTTCAGCTTTAATGTCACTGCAAAGGATTTTAACGGCGGTTGTCTCCGTGAACCCAAACCGTTAAGATATAAAGAATAAACAAGATACAAACATGATGATAACGTATGGCATGCAATACAAGTATGATTGAATAAATTAAGAACTTGTGAGTCAGTACCAGAGGTGGAAGAAGTACTCAGATCTTGTACTTGAGTAAAAGTAGAAGTGTAGGAACTCTGTTACAAGTACAAGTCCTTCAATTAAAAGTACAAAAGTATGACTGTCAAAATAAGTAAAGTACCAAAAAAAGCATATATTTCAGAATAATATTATATGTTTTGATTACAATTATTGATGCATTAAAGTGTTTATCAAAGCTGGTAAAGGTGCAGCTAGTTTGCATTCAGTGTTGATTATATTTCTCATCAATAAACAACATCTGCAAAGTAACTAAAGGTACGAAATAGAGTAAATATAGTGGAATAAAAGTACACTATATAGCTCTGATTTGTAGTGGGGTATAAGTATAAAGTATGCAACAAATTCAAATACTCAAGTAAATTACAAGTCCCTCAGAATTGTACTTAAGTACTAGAGTAAATCTACTTTTACCAATTACTTTTCACCACTGATCTCTACTAAGGGGTCCATCACACTGCAATGGGAAGCTGGCAGAAAAAATGTAGGCCGTTAATTAATGATGGGAACATGATAATAATGCATGTTACTAATCCATCAGTGTTCAATGACTATGAGTTTTGGATAGTCACTGGGATAGATAGCAGAAACTTTGACCAGTGGTCTGTCTGGTTACACCATCTGTTTTCGCCTTCAAATATAGCCAAATGGTCCTCTACTTGGGGTTTTAGGTGTTGACAAAATGATTAAATTGAAAGAAAAAAAAAAATATTATTTTGTCTCTGAAAAAACCTTAAAAAACAAGCCATAAGGAAATCTGTGTTTTCACATAAACCTGCAAAGCAAGCGATAACCTGTGTTGAGGGGTCACTGGTCATATTATTTCAGAAATCCTGATCTAGCGGTCTGAAGCATCACAGACTAACTGATCTAATTTACGTCACAAACTAAACAACAAAGTCCAAAAAACATGGGAAACCTCAAAGAGCTTGCCGGAAATGTTTGCACACTACTGCTGAATCTGTATTTTTCTTCAACTTTGAATTTAATGGCTGACTTGATGCATGACTTCCATACAACACACCTAATTAAAACACTTCTGGTTCAAAACAGCACACGTGCGGTTAGGGACGGCATGCTTTGATGATATGTGCTTGTTGAGCTCAAAAACTAACACGATGAGCAGATTATTGGGATCAATAGCTCATAAATGATCCTCTTGGGTGCCAATGCTGTAACATTATCGCGGTGATTAAAAGGTGATCAGGTCCGTCTTTAATCAATACACACATGGTATATATATATATACACCTGGCCACCTGGTGTAGTGCAGTTAATTGATGGATATATAGAGCTACAACCAACTAAAAGTGTTTTGTTTGTGTACCGTATGTACAGCTGTGAGTGGTCACGTTGGAGGATTGAAGGTTTTAAATTGCTGCCATTTTGGTGTCCAGGGTCAGTGCCGCTGGCTTGGTAATCAATTAGCAGATCAGCGATTAGAGGAGGCTTTCTCTGTCACCTGCATCCCTTCGTAATACCTTAATCCGCTGGACCATATGCTGCTGCTGCTGCCGGGGACTTTCCAGTATTTATTACTGTCATACACACAAATAGGTAGAGACCACCTGGATGTCCTGTCACAATTCCACACATCATAATCATACTAAATCCTGCCTGTTGATTGAGACATAATAAACACAACAGACATACTTTCAGGTTCTATATTACATTGTTTACATCTGCTTTACTGAAGACATTAGGCTCAGGTGACTGCCAACCAACTTAATCCACTAAATTAACTTTGCAAAGAGAGGGCCAGTAGTTCAATTAAAAAAGCTATTTATTTGGAAAAGGCCACAATATCACTTCCTTATAAATCCATTTGTTTGTGAATCCAAAAACTTCAAAGAGATCATTATGAATACAAACTTTTGAGAGTGTTACTCAAACAACCTGAGCAAGAATTGAAGGCAATGTATAACACAGCTACAACTGTTCTTCATGAAGAGCTGCAACTAACCATTATTTTCATTATCAATAATCGCTGGGTCTATAAAAGCTCACAAAATACGGAGACA